ATGCTTTGCCTTCTTTAAGGTTTGAAACCTTCTGTCAAAACTTTCTTTGACTGTTAACAAACCTTCTATGTCTAAGTCTTCAAATTTCGCACCATTTTTAGTCACAATAGCAAACTTAACTGGTTCGATGTTCCAAACTTTGCTGAATGAAGACTTTTCAAAATGGTAGAAGTAAACATTCAAATATGTGAATGGGTCTAGTTCTTCTTTAAGTCCTGACATGTACTTGTTTACTGAGATGAATTTTGCCATCTTTTCTATCGGATAAAAAAATATTTTTTTTAAAATTTACTCAAAAAATTTTTCTTTGTATATACACCATTCTGTACTCTAAAAGACTTTTGACATTTGCCAAGAATGTCGTTTAGACGCTGCCATATAACCATATTCTTGACAATATTGTTTATACGAATCGTACAATGACCTTTCATCTAAACACAAAGTCAGTTTCATCTATGAACAGTTCATATACACTCTTGTTTGCTTCTAACAATGTTTGTCTCTCTTCGGTATGTGGAATTTGTCTTGGATTGAACTTAGAAATATCTAATGTCATAAAATATGAGAACAAGTGGTTGTAAAAGTCAGATGTCAAAGTTTCTGCTAAGTCGTCAAAATATTCTGTATCTTGCATATGAGAATCTGACGTTCTGACAACTACATATCTTCTGTCAGAACTTTCTAACTTCATCGGAACAGCATTGTTTGAAACCATAATGAAGTTTGCAACATTTTCACAAACTCTTTGGTCTTTATACTTTCTTTCAACAACTCCAACTTTGTCTGTTATAAGACTCTTCAAAGCATCTGAGTTCAAAACTTTTGTTGTATCTATACTTTGAAGTTCATTGCAAACTATAAGTTTCATATTCTCTATTGAGGAGTTAAATTTGCCACAGATGTTTTCTAAGTTTGTCATATTAGGGTTCGAATAACCTTCTAACAGTTTGCACAAAATATCTGTAAAGAAGTGTTCTTACCTGTTCCTTGTTTTCCAATTATAATGAGAGCAGTTTCATTTTTAGCACTTGGATGTTGTAAGATGTTTGCAAACCAACATAAGATATACTCATAAACCTTTTCGTTTCCATTGCATATAATTTCTTTGACATGGTCTAACCAAGCTTCTATAATTTTTCTTTCCATTCTACTTGTTCATATTTATATCCAGTGAAGATAGAATAGAAGTTTGGAGAAGGTGTATAGAACTTTATACCTCGAACTGAAAAATCTTCTAACTTTGACAATAAGATATCCCAAGCATCTAACATCTTCATGCCAACTTGTACGACTTTTATTTTCTTAAGTTTCTGTCTACATTCTTGTTCTGAAACTATTGTGCTTTGGTTTGTTAAAGACTACATCCCATTCTTTCATAACATAACATTCTGGGGCAGAGTCGACATAAATGACTAAACGTTTCAAATTCTCGACTGCTTTGTTATAGTCTCGAAATGGACACATATTTCTGAATGCTTGGAAGTCATAAAAATCTGAAACATCTATTCTGTACATTTTTATAAAAATAAAAAAAAATATTTTTTTTATTCTTGACTTTGTTGTTGCATTTGTTGCATTTGTTGTTCTTGAGCTATTTGTTGTTGAAGTTGTTCTTGTAATACAATACTTTCACCAGTTGCATCTTCCAATTCGAAACTTTCTGCCGTCATTGACAAATACATAGGACATAAAAGTTTTACAGGAACAAAGTTTGCGTCAACTAATGTCAACGTTATACTTGCCAAAGTGTTTGAGTTCACTAAGGTTGAAAATTCTGCATTCGAATGAACAATAGGCAAACCAGCAGAGAAAGTATTGTTTATACGCATAAGTATCTTTTGGTCATAATAGTTTCTGTCGACATTCGAATAACACTTTGAACCTAAGTTTGAAACAATATATAAGATTGGTGTGCTTAATGTCAATGGAATAGACATTCCTTGTATGACACCTTTTCCTGTTATAGGAAACTGTTGGTAGTAAAAACCAGAAATAAGTTTTGTATTATAGCTCATATCGTTTATAGTAAACTCAGTCGGACATCCAAACATAATGAAACCTGCTCTAGTTGCAGCACATGTTACACCCGTACTTAAAGTATTAAATAAGTCAACAAAACCTGTTGGTGGTATATCTGAGTAAGTATCTTCAAAGGAGTATTTTTTACCATTCACAACAATAAAGTCTTCTGGTGTCAAAAGAGCAAAACAGGCTTTAGTCGTCATTGTGTTTAAGGTTAGTTTACAATATCGTCCTTGAGGACTTTGTAAGTTTGTTGTTATAGAATTATATGACTCAGGGTTTTTAGTCGTAATAGTATAAACCATTATGTCTTCTGCCATTTACTTAGCAAATAAATTTTAATGAAATGTTGTGGTCGTCAAATATTTTTATGACGTCTGGGAAACTATATTTTAAGTTCAACGTTTCACCTCCTTTCATAACGTATATCTTGTCAATGACATTATATGAAACACCACAGCAACTAATGTCGGGTTCTATTTCTTTGATGTTTATATCGTCTGCCTCTGTCAAAAGTTTCAATAGTTCTTTCAAAACTTCATGAGGTGCAATGACATATGAGTTCACTTTTACAGGGTTGTGTTCGACCAAGTTTAACATTATACTAAAGCTTGACAAATCTTCTCCTGAGTTTGAAGTTTGTCTTTCAGTTGTTGGTAGTCGTTTCGAATATCTGCAACAGAACTTAAGTCTCTGCTAACTTCAGGATATGTTGGTTCTTTTACAGGAACAATTGTTATACCATCTTCGTCTTCGTATGGTTTCCCCACTTCAACATCTCTGTCTTTGACATTGACAACAACACTTTGACTGTTTGTTTGAGTTGGTGAATTTAACTTCACATCTGCCACCGCCATTAAACCTTTTGAAACACTTACGCTTCTATTTTTCGGAAATGACATTTTACTTAGAATAAAAAGATGGACGTATTCGATATCTCTTCGAATTGAAGCAGAACAAAGTTTACACACACAAACAATACAAATACATTGACAGAATAGTTCTTTATACAAACAATGGAAAATGTTATAGAATAGCAGTCTTTGCTGAACCAAATATTTTCATAAAGCAAAGAAAGTTGGTATAACTGAAATGGTGAAAGTTCTTGAAGCAGACAAAAATATAACTTCAAAACTTACAGATATTTCTAAAGGTAAGTTTATAATACAATATTATGTCAAAACTGGCGTACTGTCAATATTTGACGGAGAGAAGTCAGTTCAAGAACAACTTACTGACCTGCTGCCAAAATCTGCTCGATGGAAGCTGTCGTTATGCCAATCTGAGGAGCCCCAGCAGGTTTCATCGAACGAATCTTCAAAAGAGCATCTTCCGTGAAAAGTGCTATTGGTTTTGTAAACTTCTTTGCTCTCAATTCATCTGGACCGTCTCTGTCACCAGTATATTGTATTTGTACAGTACCAACAGTTGAAATACCACCCATAAAGTCTTCTGAGTCAGCAAATGGAATGCCAAGCCAAAAGTTTGAACGGTCTCCATTTGTATATTGAGTTTTTTGACCTCCTGTATGAGTCCATACTTTCACATATGGCATAATAGAACTTTGCATTTCAGGGTTAATGGTTGTTGTGAAGTTGTTGTTAAAGTTCATAGCATCTAATGTCAAGTTGTATGACCTCATATCCTCAACTGTAGAATATTCTTCTCTTGGATAATATTTGCCATCTATGTTTATATGATATTTAATACCAGGGTTGTAGAAACAAGAATAGTCATTTATAGTTCGTCTGAACAGTACAAACATAGTATCTGCATGTTTCATTGCAGTTGTTAAAGCAATATCTGTTCTTGCACCTGGGTCAGCACTTTGGTTTCCAACTTCACCTGCAAAGTCTTTGACAGATATTTGGTGTATAGGGAACATAAGTGGAACTGCAATATATTTGGCAGCTAAAGCATTTGAAATATCTGGGTCCAACATATAGACTGCAAGTCTGCTTTCTATTCTCTTGCATTCAAATTTTTCGCATGTGAACTTAACTGGGTCCCAAGCAGTTCCAGCAGCATTGAAATAATAGTTTACTTCAGTGTTGGTTTGAGAAACCAAAGTCTAAGTCAACTTTGTCTTTGCAAAATCGGCGAATGACGTTTGATTTGTTCCCTTTACGTCTGTAATAGTGAATGGGTCTTGTGTTGGTGCAATGACTAAGTTATTTTTGCTTGGAGTAAGTTCGATAGAAATTTTTCCTGCCCAGTTTGGCAAGTATCTTAAAAACCTGAAGATGAGGAAAGATGACAAAGGAACTCTAAGTTTCAGTTTTACTTTGGTTAGTGCAGCAGTTTGAACCAGAAAGGTTAACATAAACTCCTGGAACGTTAGGGTCAAGTCTTCTTATTTTCTCAATAGTTGCATACTGGTCTGTTTGTTCTCTAGCTTGTGGTTGTACTGAGTTTCTCAAAGCGAACCATTCATAGTTTGCCCATGTTACTGTTTGAACTAAGTCAGAGTTAGAATATATCTTATATCCCATGAAAACTTCTGGAGCATATTGGTATCCGACATAGAAAATTCCATTGCAACCTTTCTTGTCAGACAACTTGGCAGAAGGTTTTATTTCAATGTCTTGTTCCACGTATAAGAATGAGTTGTCAATAGAAATAATATGAAACCTGTCGCAAGCAATATCTACTGTTGTTGAAGAACCTTCTCCAAACTCACCTACGTTTCCATAAGAAACAGCAGTTGTATATTCGTAAGTTCCAGGAACTATTTCTGACCTTCTAATGGCATTGTCGCATTCGTTATACCATTCGGAAACATTTCCGTTCATGGCATCCAAAACTGTTGGCGTTATATTCTGAGCGGCGTACATTTCATATGGGTAAAAATATAGAATAGTTGGATTTATTGTCATAATAGTCGACCAAGCTTTACTTTCTTCCTGACTGAGTTTTTAACTCTTCTTTTTCCTTCATTGCCACTACTTTCACTAGATGAAGTTACTTCTTCACTACTTTCACTTTGTTCTACTCTTCTTCTTTGGTGTCGCTTTTGGTAACTTGCCCTCTGCTTCAAGTTGTTGCATCTTTGCCTCATGTTCACCTAGTATGTTGTAAATTTCCCATGTCCTTTTTGCCTTTGGGCTCTGGTCGCCCATCTCAGGTAACCTATATCCTAGAAAGATTTTGTCATAGTTTGTATTTGAGTCTTCGCGTATTGTTTGCATGACTCTTTCCTGAGTTTCCGGTTCAAGCTCTTCAAACAGAGCTTGTCCATATGGAATAAGCTCGTTTCCAAATATATGTTTTTGTAGCCATTCTGGTTTTCTTTCCATGTTACCAATAATATCTTTTGTGAATGGGAAAGCTTTTACCCAATGTTTCAGTCTTGCGTCATTTATTTCTGTAGTTGGTTTTATTTTGTCAAGGAACATGTTTTTCAATACTAACATTTCATTTGGTACTGTCCATTTGAGTTTTCTTAAATATTCATCCCTTCTCAGTTCATTGTCTGCAAAGTAAGTTTTTATGACATTTTGCAAACTTTCGTTTGCAAGGTCATGTACAATAGGTTCTCTTCCTTCTCTCTCCCTAACTTTCTTTCTAAACTCTTCACCAAATATACCATCTCTATGGTTCTGTGTAGTTCTTTGAGATAAATGTTCTAGAACGTCAGGTGTTATATTTCCATCAGCCATGTTCATTTCATACTGGTCCAAAATATCTGCATTTCATATCTTTCAATGGCATTAAAGCCGCGCTGAAAATACCAGCTATATCTGGTTCACCATTCACTTCCATTGCGTCTACAACTTCTTGGAATTGTGGTTGTAAGTTTATGAACCACCTATCCGGATTAGCTTTATGACCCCATCTCATTGTAGTTCCATAGTCTGCAGAAACAAAAGTAGGTTTGTTTCCATATTGGTTAGGTTCTGAATGAACTTTAAACAATGTTTCATTTCTATATGTTTTGTTGAAATTTAACCTTTTATTTTCACCGAGTTCAGCCAAAGATTGAACGTTATATGGTCGTAAGTAAAAAGGATTGTATTTGCGTACATTTTCTTTCAGTACTTCCATTCTATGCTGAATATTTTCATCTGATGTTGGAGTCTTTTGTATGTCGGCGAACATTTTTCGATATTCTTCTACTATGTCAGCCGAATTTTTCTTAGACTCTTGGAAAGATTCCATATTCTCCGCATACTCTTGTTGAGGGTCAAGATTTTTCGGCTGTTCCAAATCTTCATCTAGTTCTGTGAAGTTAGTTTCCAAAGGAGGGACTTGTTCGTTTCCTTCAGGCTCTTCTAGCTGTTGTTGCTGAACTATTTCTTCCATGTCTGGTTGTATCTGAACTTCTTCCTGTGGAGTTTCTTGTACCTCATCTGCTGGCATTTCATATATTCCGAGACCGTTTTTAACAAGTTCCCTATCTAAGTCATCCGACTCATAAACCTTTCTTTTTCGTTCCGTCTCTATTTTTTACGCGTTTCATGAAGAGTTGAATTATCATTTATCTCTGACACCAAATATCTCGGAGTAAATTCATCCATGTCATTTGGATGATATGCTATTAAATCATATCCCTTAGCGAGCTTGTATTTTCCAGGTTTGAAATTATATCCCATTTGGTGCTGAACCATAAAGCTAAATAGGTTCGGGTCAGTATTTCCTTCCTTGAACTTTCTAATAGCTTCTTTATATCTGTCACTAAAGTCAAGAGTATCTGGGTAACCATAATTTCCTTAAGCATTTTTAAGAATTCTTGGTTTCCTTGTTCTCTACTTCTTTTATGTCCTTGCTCTGTTTGTGGTTGTTGGTGCAGTGTTTTGAACTGTTGGTTGGTGCAGTGTTTTGAACTGTTGGTTTGGTGCAGTGTTTTGAACTGTTGGTTTGTGCATTTTGAACTGTTGGTTGTTGTGCTGGATTTTGAACTGTTGGTTGTTGTGTTGGTTTTGGTGCATGCCTGTGTCTGTGTCCATGTGACGATGTAAATGTTTTAGGTAGTCCTGGTGCAGGTGCTTCTCTTGGAGGGTTTGGTGGTATATAAGTTCCACTAGCTAGTATATAAGTTCCACCAGCTGGTATATAAGTTCCACCAGCTGGCACATATGTTCCATCTGCAGCATAATGTCCTACCTGACTTTTCGTTTTTAAGAAAGCATTTACTAGGTCTGTTTTGGTCTGTTGTAACTCTTTTTCTTGACTTTCCACAACAGTTGCTCTAACGGCGTCATAGGCACTTTGAACTGCCTGTCTCGTTGCTGCATCTGTTATTTTCGTCATATTTTGTGCTACTTCTCTTAACTCTTTGTCGAAACCTTCAGACTTCAGTTTCTTTCCAGATGAGAAGTCGTTCACTAGTTTCACCTTACTATGAAGAGCTTCGAAGGCGTTCTTAAAGTCAGCATTCATTAAAGCTTCATTTGAACTGTCTTCATCCGCTTGTATTTTTGTCCTTATTGACCCTATAAGTTGGGCTGCTTTAGCGTTGGCTTGGGCATCTAACCAGTCATTATTAGCTTTTATATATTCTGCGCTTTTCATTGCCTTTTGCATGGCTGCGTCGTTATTTTTACTTTCTTGTGCTAAGTTTTCATACTGTACGGTTTGGTTTTGCAACTGTAAAAGTTTTTCTGCCTTTACATTTGCTTCAACTTCTTTTTTATACTCATCGCTATCCAATAATATTGTCTTCAGGCTTTTTGTTTTATTCTTCATCTTTCAGTACTTTATATTGAGTAGTATGGTTTTTCAAATTTATAACATCTTGTTCCATTTTTGCTACTTCTGCTGCTTTTTCTGACACTTTTTTCGCATATTCCTCTGTACTTAGTTCTTTCAGTTGTTCTTCTTTCTTCTTTTTCTCTACGTTTAACTCATTGAGTTTCTTTGTGTGTCTGTCATATTCTAGTTTCTTTTCGTTTTCACTTATTTGTTTCTGTATGTCTATGTTTGACTTTTTGACATCTGTTATTTGATTTTTGAGTGAACTCAAATTCATTTGACTTTGAGGGTTATAAGCTGTTCCGTCTGCAGCTCCACCATAGCCTGCCATTTTCGCTAAAAGTGCCGCTCTTAAACCTCCACTCTGTGCACCAATAACTCGGTTTAAAAGCATAGGGTTGCTTGACATTTGTTGCAACATAGTGGGGTCATTCATATTTGTTGTTGCAACTGTTGTTGTGGTGTCAGTTTTACTATTGGATGTTTCAATGCTCCCTTCCTCTTACGTATATTCTTACGTAGCTTACGTGGCATTTTAAGTGAAGTAAAAAACGGTTTTTGACAGATGTTTATATGACACTTTTTGTTCAGCACAAAAAACTACTCGGTCAAAGTGTTGTCAGTTTTGTAAAATAACCGTCCTATCTCATTCTATAAGGGGAAAGGCTTCTCAAAGTATACTTCCTTGGAACGCCTGTAACTTTTCCTGTAGCGACGATAGACCCTTACTTGTCCGGACAAAGTTATACTATTTTGAGTGCTCTACAAAAAGTCAACGGCGACGACTCTCAAAAACCGTTGTGTAAAAAGTTTTACCGTTGGACAAAAAAGTATATATAGAAAACAAAAAACGTTTATAGTTCATTCAATATTTGAGATGGAACGGTTTGCCAACGGTAACTATTAAATAAAATAAAAAAATAGAGGGGGTCTCCGTTGGTAAAAACCGTTTATTTTAAACTTTTCTATGAGTTGTCCGAAAAAAAACAGTTCATTTTTCATAATGGAAGGAAGAAAAAGTGTCGCAAACAATTCGTCGACTACCTCTGCAGTTAAAGTTCCTACAACTTATGTCTCACCATTCTCAAAACCCTTACGACCTCCTATAATACCAAAGCAACTTCCTCATACAATTCAAGACAATTTGTTGGACAATATGCATTTGCACAAAGAAACAGCTCAGCCAACAGGTCAGGCAACAACAACTATCGGAACAGAAGCATTTTCAGAAGAAGTTCATACCAATCAGACTCCAATCGAACATACAGAAACACAACCACCCGAAAATACAGAAACACATCCAATCGAACATACAGAAACACATTCTGCAATGACCACTAGGTCGCAAACACGATATCTCGCCTTTAGCAAACAATTTAAGTCTCAAATTCAAGACACACAAGATAGCGACACTCCTCTTTCAGAGAAAGTTCGTAGAAAATACGCAAAGAAAAGGTTAGAATTGTTAGATAAGTTAAATGAACAGTGGGGTTCAGAAGACAATCGAGATTATAACGAGATGTTTCAAGCTGTCATGGATGCCATTCAGCCTCTTGAAAACGAAATCAAAGACCCTGGCGTACTTGTTGACATGTTTGCTTCATATTTACCCGTTACTGCCAATCTCATAGCGTTGCAAGCTATTGACCAGTTCATTCACTTGTTTCCAAAGAACTTGCAGAAGCATTTACAAGAAGTTAAAATTGCTGAATTTGTCCGTTTATATCCAAATTCATACAATTATTTGGAAGAATTGAATGAACATGGTGAAAGGTCCTTTTACGTATACTTTTTTACTAAACCAGGACAGTCAAAACGGTTATATTGTATACAACCTTTACCAGAATTTCAAGACAATTTCCACGTTATAACAACTGTTGCTTTAGATATTCCTGCCAGAGTTCCATATGGAGGAACAGTAACTATCTCAAGCTTTCCCAAGGGCTATAAAGGAAAGCCTCTCACAATTGCAAAATTCACACACAGCAGTTGCCAATTTGTTCAAGATGTCGAGTTCCATTTCCTCAACAATACGACTTTCATCATAGAGACTCCTCAAGAAGGTATATACAAAGTTTTCATCGCAGGATTTGTTGCTCCCAATGGCGAAGAAGAAGTCGAAGAAATCCTCACCTCAGAGAGCGAAGAAGAAGAAGTCGAAGAAATCCTCACCTCAGAGAGTGAAGAAGAAGAAAATTTCCAAGACATTCAAGATTCAGAATATACCGAATAAAAAAAACAATTTAAGACTAAAAATTTAATTTTATTATAATATTTTTATTTTTTTCATCTGGTCTTTGTATCATTCCTCCTCTAGTTTCTCCGGGGCTAGAGGGCACGAAGTGCCTGGAAGCCCCACTACCTTTTTTTTTTCAAATAAACTTATAAAACACAAAATTATTATTTTATAATATAATTCTTAGATAATACATCCGATATGTAAAGTGTCAAAAATGAATTGAACCGAATTTTCATGCATTACAAGGTGATTCTTGATTGAGGAATAGATTTCAAACTAACCACCCCCTTTATTTTTGAAATTTTGAATCCATCAACTTTAAACATTTTATTCAATTTACACGTTGTCAATTCTTCAAATAATTTTTTATTGTTAGCATAATAGTCATTAAATTCTTCAACAGATGAAAAAAATTTTATTTCAGTAATTGGTTTAACAACGTTTATTTTTTGTTGAACATTTTCACTTTCATTTATTTCTTCCTCCTCTGTTTCATTTATTTTTAAAATTGGTTTCATTTATCATTAAATAAAAATTAGAATATAAGTGATGAAATATATTTTTAATTAATATTAAATCAGAAATGGCGGCAGGATTCTTTAAAAAATTATGGGATGGAATTAAGAAAGCTGCAGGTTGGGTTCATAAAAAGATTATTAAACCCATTGCAAA